GTCATTGGCGAGCCGTCGGCCGTTTTGATCGTGAGCGGCGTAGGTTCCAGGGCTGGAGATCCGATGCTGTTCCAGGTTTGGCGCGAGATCATCGTGATGTCGGCGCCGGTGTCGACTTGAAGTTCTGTGCAGAAGCCGTCGATGTCCACTTTGAGGTACGTTCGAGCGTCTTCGATGTCAGAGAAAGCGACTCGTCGTGCAAATCGTCGAGGTTGTTGTTCAGAAGGCGTGGTCGAGCGTCTTCGGAATCGTGACCCATGTCTCGAGCGATTGCGGGAGGAATGAAGCGAGTTGTCTTGCTGCGACGGGATTTGCTTCTGGTACTGCTGCTGGTTCCGCGATTGGTACTGCTGCTGCTGGTACTTCGGCTGTTGACCCGTCTTCTTCTTGTAGGAGATGGCCTTGATGTCTAACGTGTCCATCGATCGATTCTCAGCTCGAATTCTGGCCCAGTTGTCGCATTCTTCACTGATGTCGTCGAGCTTGAGCTTGGCGTTGACGTCGTTCATCTTGTTGAGAAGACGTAGGCGAATCTCGGTGTACGACGCATCCGAAAGAGCGGAAACGAAGGCGATGCACTGAGCTGTGTCCTCGTCGATGTTCTTCATTTCTGCTTCAGCGTAGTGCTGCTTCACGTCGTTGGAGAGGTCCCGGAACGGAAAGGCAGATGAAGATAGAGGAGGAGCTGTCTTTTGGTAGAACTCGAATCGTCGTTTGCACAGCGACTTTCGTGGTCCAAACAGCTTCTTGAGAGTGTCGATGGTCTCGTTGAGCGTCAAGGTTGAGAAGTCCTTCGGCAGGATGTTCTTGCAGAAGACGTCGTAGGCTTTTTTGTCCAGCTTGTTGACGATGAGGTTGCGTTTGGCTTCGTCGGTCAGCGTTTTGCCACGTTCGTTGAGCGTCACGCCATGCCGCTTGAACCAATCGTCAAAGGTCGATGTCCCTTCAGCGTCGTAGTTGTACGGCTCGATTTCGTTCATCAGAAGTCCGTAGACGTCGATGCTGGGGCTGGATGCGGTACTGGAGGTGTTGCCGGCTGACAGAGACTTTATGAGGTCGGCCAGCTGTTTCTGCGTCTGCTGCTGTGCTTGCTGTTGACTCAGGATCATTTTGAGT